TGAAAAAATTTTTGACAATAAAGGCATTTATTTATTTATTTATTTAAATGAAACTGAATATATCGAAATTAATTAAATTAAATTATTTAAGTGATATTTTCAAAAGTCAATAACTCGGAAACGGTTGGGTTGGGGTACATTGTGTGTATTTCGATTTTTGCTTAGAATTGAAGAAAGAACCGAAATATGCAATAATATACAGGGGGTTCCATTTAAAAAAATGAAACTTTGATGTGCCACGACTTTATGACCGACCCTGTATACTTAAATTTATTGCCCGCTAATAGATATTTATAAAACTTTAATATTTAACTTTTTGCCGCACCTCCTATATTTTACCTAATAGTCGACCGTTTCCATACATAACAGCGACCCTGTATAATTCTAATAAAAATAAATAAGTTATAATAATTATTAATTAACACAAACATCCGATAACCTACTGAATTAGCTAAGTCAAATTGACGTATCTAAATTTCTTTTACATCTAACCTTTGAAAAGTAGTAAGTATAAGTAAAAATGCAAGAAAAAATATACAATAATTAGTTAATTTTAAGTGAATTTCATAAATGATCAATTTACTTAAAATATGACGTATGTGCCGGTTATAGTGAGAATTCAGCTTTACTAGTAAGTTGCACCTACGAAGCTGGTTTCCATTTGGATTCTAAAGCACCGACAATTACAAAAATACTAACTTTATTTTTTAATTACTATTTCAGTGGAGAAACAACAATACTTTCCCAAAATATATACAATAAACCTCAAAATACTATTGACATCATGAAGTAAAATCATATCATATGTTATATTTCCGTGAGATTCTACCTATATCTACTACTCAATACACATAAGATAAATCTCTATTTTACTATTTCGTATATCTCCGAAATCCGATTGCGGGATCAACACGGATTTCAAATTAGAATATTTAAATCGATATTTCTGAATCCCTACGTACGTTTCCGCTCATGAGAAAAATACAGTCAAAAAAATACACACGGTTTCGAAAGGCCGATCAATCAAAGAAAATTAATGGCTGGCTACCGGTAAAATACGGTTCGACTTTCCCGTTAAAAGAAAAATCATAATTTAATCAACGAATATGCGCATTTCGTTAGGCTTCGGTAATCTGATAAGCGATTTCCTGTTCAGCCATCTCTACTGATTTATTTTCTGGTATATTTCTTAAAATCGATATACCTACATTATGAACATAATAATTATTTTAATTTAATAATGTCAATTTATATTAGTATTATCATTCATAGGAAGAATCTGTTCAATAAAGATTATTTTAAGAATTCATGAATTCAAACAATCTTTTTTTTTTAATCAGACTTAAAGCCCAATAGACCCGATCAAAACCAAAGAATACCGAACCAAATCAAAGAAAAAAAGTGATTATGATATACATGTAATAGTGTGAAAACGTTAATATATTATGCCAAAAAATGGCTTTCATATGTCAAATGTGAAAAAAGACATTTTTGTATCTCTAGGATTTGTTAACACTAATGGGACTAATAGAAACATAGGACATAAGAAACAAAGATATTTTAAAATGGCAAAATTATAATGAAAGAACTGATAGCTACTAACAATAATAAAAGAGGCATTAATTAAATGTATCACTCAGGATCTGTAGATCTTAGTAATCTATGGCTTCTAGTAATATATTACCTTTTTTAATTAATTATTCAATAAACAACATACGACACAATATAAAACTAATAAATGTACAAATTTCAATTTTGTTCACTCTTACTGAAGTATGGTTCTACCTTAATGTATTAAATACCTGTACCTATCTTTTAACTTCATAATAATATGTAGAGTAGAAAAATGTTCTAGAGTTAGATTGAGTATTATTTTTAGGGTCTTGTCAATAAAGGCACCAAACCATGTTCCACCAAACGGACAACACGGCACGACGTTTTCAATGAAACAGGAACTGCGGTTTCCAGAATGAGGAACATTTTGAAGTTTTTGAGTTGTTACACATAATTGAAGCGTGCCATATGCAAAAAGTGGTATGTGCAATTTTATAAATTTTACAGGAGGCGCATTATTATGTTTTGTTTTACCTTACTAAGAAATACAAAATATTTGTGGCTATTACTGACATCATTTTAGATATAGGCAAGTAATAAAACACATACTTTAATGAAAACATTGGTAATAAATTTGTTATTGGCCGCTAATTATCAAAACGTAGTATGTGCCAATAAAGTTGCACATGTATAATGGATTAAAATCACGTTTTAAACAAAAGATCAACACGTATTGTTTTTCTAACGCCTTTACTAATATACAAAACAGTTTGTGAAATACAATGTTAATAATATAATGCTAATACAAAAGAGGTTCTTATAAACCTATAAGTTGAAACTTATTTTTATTCATTTTGTAGGGCCTCCTGACTCTCCACCAGATTTTGATAAAAGTCTTGATTTGCGGGTGATATAAACGGATCATACTCCTAATTTCTTTAATTTTTCTTTGTTCCATTTACGGGTGCCTGTTCCACCAGTTCAATGTTTAAATTTTCAAAATTTTGTGATGTAACCTTTGGTTTAAACACACCCACTTTGCGCCATGGTGCGACGTCCGAGTACGACGTTTTAACTTCAATTTGCCCTAAGTTGTCCTTAGATATTTCAGCATAACAGCTTGCGAGATGCCCAGGGTGGAGGTTACTAGGGTAGTTTTTGCAATTTCCATCCAGTTAAAAAATCTAGTGGTGCATTTAATTACAAATGGATTTTTCAAACGAGCACTTGCCATTATACGCACCAAATCCATAGGTACTTCAGGCTTAAGACTTTTTTGGCTTTTTCTATGCAGCCAAAGTCCCGATCACATGATAGGAATGTGGCCACTTTGCGGAAATTTGTGCACTATCTCGTCGAAGTACCCTTTGGCTACCAGGGTAATATAGACAGCCAAAATACCCTGGTTCTTATTCTGCCCTCCGCAGTTATCGGACCATAGGACCAATTTTCGCTTTGTAGTATTAAGCTGAGTTGTAACGTAATCATACAAACAACTACCGATTTCGTTACATCCTCGTTTTCCAGCTGTTTCATCCCACAGGTACATAAAACCTTTCCCTTCATCTTCAAAATGTATTCCCAGATTAATACAAGTAAACTGCCGACTATAGTACATCTGAGTATGAGTCAATGCTGGAATATATAGCTGCTTTTGTAAATCATAAGACAGCACACATACATCAGACTGAGGACTTTTGCAATCTACTATGTTTTGTGACATCATTTTTGAGCGCTCTCTGCTTTACGTTGATGTAAATCGCGCTTTTAGTTCGAATTCTTTTTTTCTACGGGAGTCTTACTAGCAGCTATTGAAATTTTGTACTGGTCGCAAGTAGGACAGGTGTCCACTCTTGGGGCTCCGAAGGCTAAACTGAATTCTTTCTTAAAAATTTCATTAAACCATTGTCGGGGAGACTGGGGGCTTTGTTCCATCAAGCCGATGCTTTTCAAGAAAGGCATTATATAGCTTACGTACATTCAAATCTTCAGAAAGGTATCTCCGGTTTGTAACTTTTTCTCGACTGTAATGGCTTTCTCTGCTAGAATTGACGCAATAAAATCAATAATTTTTTGTTTCCATAGGGTGTTGTTTCTAGCAGGACGTTTACCACCTCGTTTGTCTTGGAACAGATATGCCGGAGGAGAGTATTCGCTGACTAAGTATCTCCAATCTTCTTTGTGTAATAGCCAAAGTTAAACACAAGGTACTTTTACATACCTGAACTTCGGATTCTCCTGGAAGTGGTAGAAAATATTTAAAAGAGTGTTGTCGTCTGCTCTGGTTGGGATTATCGTAATTTCCATGTCTTCTACGTTTGATTAAAAGTAGGTCGAATAAGGGAACGTAAAAAAGTTCTGCTGCTCATTATAATCTGCCAATTTCCAAAACTGCTCAAACACTCTTTTCTTGCAGCAACAGTAATTAGCTTACAAGAGTACTGACAGCTGCACTTCACCTAAAAGAATATTTTAATAAAATATATCAGTTCTCTTCAGGATCTGAAAAAGAATAAAACTGTGGTTTTTACTTACCTGTTCACAAAAGCGTTTGCCGGGTATTGGTCGCTTTTTTGTTTTAGAGTTTGGTATGGACTTCCAGAGTTTTTATTGCGTTTTACATCTTCTCTTACATTCCCAGTAAATTTTCTTTTTTTGGCACGTATTTCTTCAGGAATATCCATTTTTTTATCGAAAACAGTACACCCGAACACCGCTTAAAAAGCTTTGCTAGGTTATGATAAATAAGCAGCTGTTCGTTGGCACTTACTACGTTTTGATATGTAATTCCTTACATCGCCGCTGGACAAAGCGCCATCGATATAAATTTTATTGTGCAAGTAAAGCATGGCACATACTATCTATTTAGCATATAATCCGCATTTGTGAAAAAGTGGCACTTACAACGTTATGCATATGGCACGCTTCAATTATTTATAATACACAATAACTATATTACACTAATCAACAATTAACAAATTTAGTTTCCAAATTCATTACTGGACGTTCTTATAAGATTATGAAAAGATCATCTTAGTTATCTATTCTATGTATGGACTCTATTTATTTGTCATCATTTATCAAGCTGGTCATGGTTTTACCATATTCCATAATCGTGGTTTTAAAAATGAACCTTTGCAGTACCTTGATCTCCTCCGCATTTGCTTTTTACACTCAATACTTTGGACTATAAAAAATCAAACGTAATAAATAAATCGTCAATAGTATAATGCATGATGAAAACTGTTCATCTGGTTGAAATTACAGGAAACATATTCAAAACAATAAAAAGCGATTTCAGGTCGATGGTGGAATTTGAGTTTTGAGTTTGTTTTCGAAACTGAAAACATACTTTTGTGTCTGAAATTAGTGGTAATTGTGGTAAACGTTCAGTATAAATTCGCCTTAACAAATAATACAAATTTTAAACATGCACCGCCACCTACCTGAACGTGCAAGAATTCATCTCCTTCGGTTTGCAACCCTCTCGTTACAGTCACCCTTCCCGTGTTTACCGTGCCGTTCGCAGGGGGCGCTGTGGATTCGTCTTCGTGTTTTACGAACTGGATTCGACCGGCCTCGACGCAAATGTTCGGCGCCAGAGGGAGACACCTACAAATAGAGAAAACTGGGTTATTGATCGGGAAAGTCTTATATCCAGATTACAAGTCGATACAAGATAGCTAGGATGGAAGGAAGCTATATTTAGCTGTGACTAAAATATGTAAATTTTAGCAATCTTTTTATAATTATAAAGTTAAAAAAGGTAAAAACTACCAAACACTTACATTATTGTATAGGTATACTACAGCACAATAGCACAAAAGCTTATGAAATATTGTTTACTACTTCTTTAGTAAACAACAAAAAAATAATTGTGAATATCGCTTCAATAAAGCAAATTGTTATTAAATATATGTATTTAGAAAGTAACTAGATTCGGGATTTAAAACCAAACCATAAAAGTCTTCTCAAAACCGTTATTGTACTTACAAGATACTATTGTAACAGAGAATTTTAAAACTACAAACTTGACATAATGCTGTGTAGAAAAATGGAGTGATAATAATAACATGCAATTCCCCTTAGAACGATTTTAACAACCTTTAATTTTTATATATTTCTATGATGATAAACGAAAACTAAAATACATTTCAGAAAATATTGTTAACGCATATTTATGTATGTTAGAAAAACATAAACACTTAAATATTATTCTAATAATACAGAGAATCCAAAAGAATTGTACAAAACAAATTTAATATTTTCTCTAGATCATATCGTGGCTCATGGCACTAGTTAGAAACGGTCAATCATATACAAAAGAATTATGCAAACCTTCACTAAAATAATAATTGACAATTTTAAACTCTTAGACATATTTTTCAATACAATTTTTCGCATACATCGTTTTCGATTTTTGGAAATACTCAAATTCGAAAGAGATTGAATCTGATATTTTTAATATAATTTAAGCTTCTCAGCTCTATTCGGGCTACCTATATTTTAAAACATTGAGAATTCTATATATAATTACACATCAAAATCTATGTTTTAATATTTTTTTAACCGAGCAAAATACATAATGTTTATATAATCAGAACTACCATGATCGAAAAAAACGGAATCAAAGACGGCTGGGGAATGAATAGTCAATGATAATTTTGGCGAGGTAAATCTATAGACGTCATTTATTAAAAACTGACATAAAACTTGCCAAAATTAAGACCAATTATAGAAAGATTTAAAAAGGTTTGGTTTGGTTATCTAATGCCAAAAAAATATTTTTTCTCGAATTTAAAAGTACACCATTTAAAACTAATGTTTACTCAAAACAAAAATATATTATAACCTTCAAGGCCACCTGGCAGTAAGCGCCACTAAAAAATAAAGAAGAGTACCGGCCAAGTAATGACGTCTTGAGGTTTGACCTCGCCAAAATTATCATCGATTGTCATTCCACACCCGTCTTTGACGCCGTTTTTTTTTCGATCGTATAATATATTATTTCATAGACAGACTCACACTCAAAGCTCGTTCACAACTGGTTTGATGTTGATATCACGTATGTATTTATAATATATTGTATATATATGATCGAAAAAAAGTCGTCAGGGATGGCAATGGAATGAAGATCGCTGTCATTTAAAATGTAAAATTATATGGGGAATGTCATTGATCGTCATTTCAAAGCCAACTGGACGCCGTTTTTTTGCGCGACTAATAACGAGAAAACATTTCACTATATTTTATTACAAAGGTAAAAAGGTCACCATCATTATAGCTTTTAGCAATATAAAATTCCGAAAAAAAAATCATTTAGAAAAAAAGTCTAGAGAAAATCAATTACCTTTGCGGCGGCGGCGGGGGTGGAGTATCTGCGCGCTCAGTTTTCTCGTAGCCCACCAGGTGGCGCGCGTCGAGCACCGGATGGACCTGGTGGGCAGATCGAGGCTTATCTCCTTCCAAAGAGTTGGAATCGCAGGGGATTCTGGATCCGGCGCTGGACCTGTAAATTAAAAAAGGAAAATTTGAGATTTTGCTTAAAACATAGTTTTCTTAATCTATATAACTGTGATAACAAACCTAACAGCGAAGAGAGTGTTTTTGTTATTTTGACAATCTTGTGGTACAGATGAATGAGTCACATTCGATCAACTATACCACAACATCAGTCATCTATACCATAACATAGGAATGAGATCAATCAATTTGACAGTTGACATTTGCTTTCTATATTTCTGTATGCATTTCAATTCAAGTATTTTTAAATGTTTTATACATATTCTTTATAAAGGTGCATATCCTATATAGAATTTTCTCTTTCAATAGTAAAATATACTGCAAAAAATGAGTAGGTGTCTTTCATAAAGATTTACCGTTGAAAGAGCCATATGTATAGTTTATATCAAATAAACTTTTAGTCGTTTGATTAAGCTTGACCGGTACAGCGTTGCCCACTTTTACATATTTTCTTTTAGTCAAAATATTTTAGGAAACAAAAATAAATTAATTACCGCTTTCCCTTTCAAATTATTCTAATAAAGTTGCGATCAGTTTTTAGAGCTATTAAGCTATCTTGTACACTTCGCACTCAAACAGGTTCTAAAAAGAACAATGTTCGACTGCAAAGTCCGCTAGTAAATTTTTTTAAGCTTAAAATACCACAACACAATTCATTTAAACCAAAAACTCGTAATACAAAACTCAATTATCAAAACGAATGACAATGTCAGGAAATAAATAAATAAATGTGGCAACTTGACATTTTTTACAGCAGAGCTACCACCTGAATCCCCAGAGGGAAATTTAAATTCCAGTTAGTCAGCCCGGCGCCGAATATGACCCTGGTTGACCACAATGAATTTAAAAGTCGCGCCCTCGATTACGTAACTAAAGTTTAATTGGTATCAAATATAAGAGCGCGCATATCTGAGAAAATCGGTAAATTTTACATAAAATTGGGATAATATCATTATTTGATGACTCACTAATCCTTTTAGGCATTATCCGTGTCTATAAATACCCATTTAATTTAAAAGGTCAATGAAGAATAATAATAGTTATCAAATATTACACAACATCGTCAATAAAATTTCGTTTTCAATTAGAGTTAATTAAAGAGCTGGATTCACACCCACCTGCGTTAAATAAAGATATAAACCTAACGTTTATGGGCAGCTTTTCGAAAAATACCCTGAAGCGTTATTTCTAAATTAAATTAATGAAGCAGTAACCGTATAGACCACAGTCGGTTCTGTAGTAAATAATAATTATAATAATTATTACGTAAATTTCTTACCGTAGGCAGCAATTTGTATTTTAGTACGTTTCATTGTTCTCTTTTTATGGCATAATGCCATTAAATGTATATTCTATAATTATTATTACCAGTTAAAAATAAAATTTCCGACTTAAAAATCATGTTGATGGGAAAAGTTAAGTTTCAAGTTTTTTAATTTCTTAAGTATGGCAGTTTCATTTCTTCAACTTTTGGAACAGTTCTTTGAAGTAATCGGAACTTAGCTAATTAAATCAATGAATAGAGAGTCTGTTCAACGAAAAGGAATTTCAACAGACCTATCCAAGAAATGACAAAACATTCAATTTACCTATGAATTAATATGACGGACAAAAATTATTGTGTCATTTTAATGTTTCTGGCTTGGCAGACTATATACAAAATATCTCGCAAAATATAGACATCGATGAGAGGAGATAGACCACTTGATTGAGTTTTTTGTTAGATGTTTGATAGTGAACAATAGTTATGGAATAAGATAACAAATAATTATTTAGCACTAATAAAGTCAAAATTGATTATTTTGGAGTTCATTAGAGAATATTATAGCCATTACTCAATCCTATGAAATTGTAAAAAAGGCCATATACAGGATGGTAACAATTTCGATGCTCAACAATGGCATCTCAGAAACTACAAAAGATATGAAGTCGGTTAAATGGGACAAAAGTTGCATAATTAGAAGTTTGACACACACCTATGAAGAAAACTCCGGTATCTTGATTAGTTTGGGATTTATGTCAAAGAAATGAAAATAATACGTTTATTTTAAATGACAATATCTTCAAAACTATTGTATCTATTGCAATGTAAGTTGATAGTTTTATATTTTTGACCTCGGCCAGTTAAATGCCGTTTTCAGAAAATTTCTAAGCCTTCTAGATTTCGCACAACAACAGCCAAGTTTTTGTTTTCTTATGCCCGCCATTTTGAATTTTTATACTATTAGACAGAGCAAAATATAATCTATACGGTGGTATCTAATTTTTATTCATTATTATGTAAATTCACTAAAAAATAGATTTTTTAAAAATTCGCTCACAAGATCAAGTCTGCCTTGGAAATCCAATTTACACTTTATATATAAGCAAGTTATTTTTTGTTTATTCTATTAAGTGTCAAATCTGGACGCACAAAAATTGTATAGTAGAATTCTATACAGGTCAATACAAGGAATTGTATTAAAATGTCTGTCTCATATCCTTTGAACTTTGTTCAAACGATATCAGTATAGCACCAAATCAGATTATTTGTGGTCTGGTTTCTCTAATTGAATGACGATTTTCTTTTGCATAATAATGTCAATTTTTTTTCTTTTAAACGTACCAGAATTTGTAAATAAAGATTCATCCGTCTATAATATTTTTCTATTATTCTAAAGGGGGATTTCTTGAACACTTTCCCGAAACCATTTGCAAAATTGTAATATTCTCTTGTGATCACCAGCTTGTAAAAAAATGTAAATTTGGTACACATTTAAATTTCGATATTTACGTTTTTTGATAATTTTCCCTACATAACAATTGCTTATACAACACTCACGACTTATTTTGCGGCTAGAACTTTCCGGACTTATTTCAATCTGAGCTGGCATATTAATATCATTGGGCCTTTTAAAATATTGCCCTCTTGTTTTTTAAAGCTACCAGCAACTGCTAAATTTCTTGAAATCCTTGCGAAAATAGTACGATGAGACTGTGTCCTTTCAAGATACAATGTTTCATAAATTGGGCATGCTATATCGGAATTTCTATTATTTTTTACGATGTACTTAAACAGCCGTTAAACGGTAGCCTACTAAAATGCCGCTAATAGATATTGTGACGTCGTTCGTTGTGATGTCGGCGGAAAGTAATGCCTAGCCTTAAACTTTTTGCAAGAGCACCTGTGGGTCAGTGGCTGAGGCTATCGCTTCGTAAGCGAATGGTCCGGGTTCAAATCTCACGCCGACCAAGACTTTTTTATATTTGATGATCTTATTGCATTGGTTTCACTCTTTTTATTTGGATTGGTTTAGTTATTTGGCGGGTTGGTTAGCGTGGTTATTTGGAGGGTGTTAATTCATTGGTTAGTTGGTTATTTGGTGGGGTTGGTTGATTTTTACTAATTTATATTTGCTTATTATATTTTTTTATCAGTGTCGAGGTTAGTTGCGTTGGTTAAGTTGGTTATTTGGTGGGGTGGATAGCGTTGGTTAGTCCTTATAAAATTTATATATTTCATAAAGCCGTGAAGTGCGTCACATCAACGACGTCATACCTATGAACGGTATTTTAGTAAACTACCGTTTAACGGCAGTTTAAGTACAGCCTATTTTTTAAGTAAACATCATACATAATATCTCGTGTATCCTCACTTGTAAACTTATTGTTGATAGTTAATACACTTTACACTATCTATTATAAATTTTTGTGTCCAGATTTGACACTTAATAGTGTAAACAAAAATTAACTTTCTGTCGAAATTTTCAAGGCAGACTTGATCTTGACAGCGAATTTGAAAAAAAATATTTTTTTAGTGAATTTACATAATAATGAATAAAAATTAGATACCACCGTACATATTATTTTTTGCTCTGTTTAATAGTATAAAAATTCAAAATGGCGGCCATAAGTAACCAAAAACTTGACTGTTGTTGTGCGAAATCTAGAAGGCTTAGAAATTTTCTAAAAACGGCATTTAATTGGCCGAAGTCAAAAATATAAAACTGCCAACTTCCGTTGCAATAGATACGATAGTTCTGAAGATATTGTCATTTAAAATAAACGTATTATTTTCATTTTTTTTGGCATAAATCCGAAACTAATCAAGATACCGGGGTTTTCTTCATAGGTGTTAGTCAAACTTCTAATTAGGCAACTTTGGTCCCATTTAACCGAATTCCTATCTCTCGAAGTTTCTGAGATGCCAATGTTGAGCATGGAAATTGTCACCACCCTATATACCAAAACAAGTTAAATAAGGGTTGGAAACAAATATAAAATATAAATAAATTTAACTCTGAGCTACAAATTGCAGAGTTTAAGTGAAAGAATAAGCCACTGAACTTGTCTAAAGAAGAAGCGGTGGAAGCAGACAGAAGTGAAGATGAATATTCTGAATATCTTTTTTACTGTTTCCTACGACATCTTTTTTATTTCATTTTTGTCAACAAGATTTCACAACAGAACTTTATAATGGAAGCTGAAGAGTAAAATAGTATTTTCACAGTGCTTTTATAACCAGCTTGCCGACTCGCGATCATTTAATGGAAATCTGGAATACCTACACAAATATTCGCTTTAAGGTTCAGAACCGGGAAATCCTGGTACCGAAAGCCCCGTTCTAAAATTATTTTGAAGTTTCTATAATGTTTATTAGCAATTATTGAAGTTTAAATATGTTATTTTATTATTTAGTATAATATTTCTGAACGTATTAGTTATATTTTTTGTGTTATGTTTTTATAGACATTTGCATCTTTAATTGAAAATGTTAAGCTTTTTTTCCTCGTTTTTTTCTAATTTAGTTAAGTTGGTTTCGAGGTTGGTTGATGTTGTTTGATGTAATTTTTAAGGTACCTATGTGTTTTCTTTTTTTTATTGTGGTCATGTTTACTTTCTCATAACTTAATAATTTGATATTATTTTCATTTGAAACTCAATTTTCTATCAGTTTTACTTTTGAGAACCATCCCTTGCTTGTTAATTAACGAACTCCACAAACGT